TGGGAATGTTGGGAGAGGGGCGGGAATGTCCGGAGAGGGATGGGAATGTTGGGAGAGGGACAGGAATGTTGGGAGAGGGGTGGGAATGTTGGGAGAGGGGTGGGAATGTCAGGAGAGGGATGGGAATGGCTCCTGCAGCCCCTGGGGGTGGGAAGAGGGAGATTCCCGAGGTCTGGATTGGCTCAAACTGGGATAAATCCCTCCCTGGGGGGATCCAGGCACCAGGAAATGGGGAAGGGGGGGGGGGGGGGGGGAACCATCCCTGGGTTTGTTCCCATTTCCCGGGATTCTGAGGCAGCAATCCCAGGATCCCGGGATCCCATGGCCATGGAATGTCCCTTTCCTGGTAAATCTGGGAATTTTAAGCTGGAATAGTTCTTGAGGGAGCCCAGGGATGCGCCAGGAATTCCTGGTGCCTGAGGATGGGTTGGGAAGGGAATTCCTGGTGATTGAGGATGGATTGGGAAGGGAATTCCTGGCGCCTTAGGGATGGATTGGGAAGGGAATTCCTGGAGGAAGGAGGAAGGAAGTCTCTTGCCCCTTATTCCTGGATCAGGAAGGGATTTCCCCCCATCCCTCCTTCTCTTGGATCTGCTGCCGGATTCCGGTGTCCGTTCCCAGCTCTCCCCCCATTCCAGGTGCCCATTCCCAGCTCTCCCCCCATTCCAGGTGCAGCTCCAGGTGCCCATTCCCAGCTCTCCCCCCATTCCAGGTTCCCATTTCCAGCTCTCCCCCCATTCCAGGTTCCCATTCCCGCCTCTCCCCCCATTCCAGGAGCAGCTCCAGGTTCCCATTCCCAGCTCTCCCTCCATTCCAGGTTCCCATTCCCAGCTCTCCCCCCATTCCAGGTGCAGCTCCAGGTTCCCATTCCCGGCTCCAGGTGTGAGATGGCGACTCCGGAGCCCCCCCTGGGTGGGACCCCCCGTCCCGGCCCCTCTCCCGGTCCCGGCCCCTCTCCCGGCTCCATGTTGGGCCCCTCTCCCGGCCCCTCTCCGGGTTCGGGACACTCGGGACACTCCGGACACATCCCGGCGCCGGGATACGCCCCGGATTCCATCCACCCCCTGCACAAGGTGAGGCCAGCCCGGAAATCCCGGCTCCAAACCCCTGGGAATGCTCCAGCCAGGCCTGAATTCCCGGGATTTGTCCCCCCGGAGGGCACCGGGAGATAGTGGGAGGGCACTGGGAGATGGTGGGAAGGGCACTGGGAGATGGTGGGAAGGGCTGGGAGGGCACTGGAAGATGGTGGGAGGGCATTGGGAAGGCACTGGGAGGAGCTGGGATGGCACTGGGAGATGGTGGGAGGGCACTGGGAGGAGCTGGGATGGCACTGGGAGGGGTTGGGATGGCAGTGGGAGATGGTGGGAGGGCACTGGGAAGGGCTGGGATGGCACTGGGAGGAGCTGGGATGGCACTGGGAGATGGTGGGAAGGGCT